AAAAAAAAAAAAACTATTTTTGCATTAGGAGGAGTTTCATTGTGGAGTTCTAAATCTACAAAGATTAATATAGATGACAATATTGCTAAAATAGCTAACTTAAAAGGAAGTATTAAGTAAGAGATGATGTGATTTTAAAATTTTAAAATTATTCAAGATATTAACATATATAATTTTTCCAAGTTATTTGCAAAGAAGTAGGGTTAACTCCCAATGTACAATTAATCGAAGCACAGAACAATAACAAAGATATGAAAAATGTCACATATAATATTACAATACATGATATGTTGCATAATGTTAGAATGACACATGAAAAGGTTTATTATTGTATATATTTTTTAAATTTCTTTAATTGGTAGTTATTTTATTTTCTTAATAATTATTTATTATTTTAGGAGAAAATATTTTTGATAAATGCTAAGTTTAACAAAATTCATACAAGAAATGGATGGTGGTATGCATCATGTGGGCTAGACTGCAAGAAAAAGGCTTCTCCTAGAGAATCATACATGTGGTGCTGTAATATCCCAAAATTTTGGGGCTATTTTAACATTTAATTGGGGACTTATTTGAAGAAAAATATTGTTTTGGGGCCTAATTGTAAAATTTTAAAAGTTTAGGGACTTAAAAAGAAAAGAAATTAGGATAAGGATGGCTGAGTTTTTCTTTCTTTTTCTTCATTCTTATCCGCGCGATCTGCTCTTCTTTTTCTCCTCTGCCGACTGAAGCCCCCAAGCCACCGACTTTCTTCCCCCTTGAAAAGCCGGTGAGATCTTGATGAAATTCCTTCCTTTTCTTGTTGAATCACAAGATTTAGGACCTAGAATCTTCCCTCTCAACCCAGAAAAATCCCAGTTCTGCTCTGCTCTTCTCCCCTGCAGTCGGCAAGAGCCCCAGCTACCGCCACCCATTTCCAGCCGGAAACACTGGCCAAGCTTGGGGATTTCTCCCTATTTTCTTGTTCTAGAACAGCCATTAAACCCAGAATTTCCAGATCTGTTCTGTTTTGCGTCTTCCTCCCTTTGTTGCCCGCCGGCTGCTATGTGGGTGTGAGGTTTTTGGGCTTTTTCTGGTAAGATCTAGCCATGAATCCCTCTCTTTAACCTTGATTTAGGTTGGGTTTACTTTAATTGCCTTATTCCCTTCCAATTTCTGGTAGAGCCGTCAGTCCCCTGCAGAAAATTCCCGCCGGCCTCTTCCCCCTGCAGCTTCGGTTCTTGCTGGAAAATTCTGGTAAGTTGTCGGCTTTTCCAAGCTTAAAATTACCCATTTAATTGTTGGGTTTTGTCCACTAAGTGCTGCCCTGTGCTTGTCCGAATTTTGTTGGAAAATGGGGGAATTCCGGTAGCATTTAAATGTGTTTTTGTGCCTGGTTTATGTAGAATTAGCTTAATTGGGCTGTTGTGATGTTGTGTAGGAGTAATCCCGTGACTTAGCCATTGTTGGCCAAAGCCGTGGGTCTCCATTGCTTGTCCAGGAAATAGGAATGAATTTTGGTAGCTTTAAACTATGTTTTTAAGTGTGGGTTAAGTAGAAAATTAGCTTGTTATGATTGTTGTGAGATTTTGGAGAGAAAACCCCGTGAATTAGCTATGTTTTGCCAATTTTGGAAGTTGAGGTTACTGTTCACGGTTGTGTTCACGGG